CTACACTCTTAGAAATGGCTGTAAATTTACAGCGGAATTCCAGCAGTAACATACTGTTATTCCAAAATACGGTAGGATATTGTCAATTTAATGTCTTCTTCTGTTGTCATAATCAAGACTGATGACTGGCAGTAAACTACCGCAAAATAATTGTACAATACAGTTTTTTTTCTAGGCAAGACATTTTACTTGTATTTGCATCTTAGAGAACCAGCATTTAAAGACAATGTTAAACGGAAAGAAAAAAAATACTTTCCATAATAAATCTTTTAGGGAATGAATCAAAATCTACAGAGCATAATCAAAAGTGTTAGATTACCAGTGTCGATGTTGTATGTTAAAAATACAATGTTAATTAAACACTTGTTTAGTCAAATTCAAAGATAGGTTTGTCAGTTTGCCTAAAGAAATGGTGTTTGATAAAGAGTTGCTCCCACAATCGCAACGTATCTGTGACGTCACGTGTTTGTCCTGGCGTCTTGTCTGGAGCTTATCATAACAAGGTAAGTTCCCCAAAGCTATTAAAACATGCTCTTTATGTTCTCTCTTTAATGTATTTATGTAATGTAATGGTGATGTATTGTCTCAATGTTTGTAACTCCCTGGCGGACATTATACCACAATGTATGCTGCGTTTATACTGTTATGTATTCTGTATCTCAATAAAGATCTATTTTAAAAAAAAAGTAAGTTTCATGTTAAGATCATCATGTTTTTGATTTTGATTATTTTTTATGAATGCATTAACTTTCTGTTTGCGCAAGAGTATCAACTTATGCTTAATGTAAGTTTATTTGTTTGGATATCGCGGTACGACTGTTCAGTACAGGGGAGCTCAAGTCCAGTCCTTGAGAGCTGCTATCCTGCAACTTTCAGATGCTTCCCTGCTCCAATTAATAACCCTGAATCAAATGAATGGCTGGTTAGCAGGTCTGTTCGGAGCTGATCCAGGTCTGTTGGAGTAAAGATGCATCGAAAAGTTGCAGGACGGTAGCCCTCGAGGACTGGACGTGAGTATCCTTGGTTTATTGTTTTTGTTAGCAGCTAAAGCTAGCCAAGCAGGTGTAGCAGGGGGTGTCGGTGGTTAAACGAACATTAAAACTGTCAGAAAGGCCGTTTGAGTTAACAGTATTTAGCTGCGAAGTCGTTTTCTTGAAGTTTTCGGCTATAGACGGCATAATGGGGAGAGTGGCTGTGCTGGACCTGTGGATTGATCTATGCGATCAAAGCTAAGCCAAAATGTTTTTGTCTCTATAAATAATAATGATAATAAATAATGACATATTGGCTGCCTCTTTTTTTTCTTCATTAGTACGTCATGTTGGTGACTGAAGCCTGTTATGATGACTTCAACACATTTCTTCTGACAGGTTGGCAGAAGAAATGCTGTCCAGAATGTTTCTATACGCTGACTAATTTCTATAATGCCTAATGTCTGAGTTGTGTTCATGGTAATTATTTCTGACATTTTTATGCTTTATGTTGTAGGTGGTGAAAAATGCTCTCCAGGGTAAACCGGGTGGACAAAGTATTTTGAATGACTGTGATTGTGATACACACACACACACACACACATATAGGTGGGTCTGGTTAGTTTTGCTCACACTTCTCTTTAAAATGTTTATTTATTATCCTAATGTGTCTGCTATTTATCCTGTTGTTCCTCCAGGCTGGGAAAACCAGGCATTCTTCTGTTGGTTCATGTGCTTCATCCTACATCCAAAGGCCACAAGAAGAATCCAAAACAGCTCATGTCAAACTGTGGACCATGTTGTCAGATATGTGCAGGTATGTGGTTATTCTAATGATCCACTTTCTTATTGTCTTTGTTTGCTATCTGAATGTAGCTGTGCTGCTAAATATATTGAATAATTTTTATTATTTGTCGTCTTATCATTATGTCAAAGATGCAAGCCAGTGTTGAAGCCTTCTTCCTTGCCGTGGAACCAGGACAGCCCTTCCTCCTGCATGTTGGTGAAAACAAGAGCAGCACCAAAGACACTGCACCATCAGTGATCACAGGATCATCCAAGGTAGCTTCAGATGAACTTTCAAAGCACACTTCACCTTCAGTGCAAAGTACCATGAATTCCTCTACAACTTCTGTACATTAATCCAGCCTACAGTTTTCAACATTGATGTGACTTGCACGACAATTGAGGAGTTTAAGATCCTTGCTTTTACTTTACCTGGCAGAGTGGACACTCTTTATTATGATGATCATTTAAATGCATACTGTATCAATAAGAGGATTTGTTTTGTGTTCTTCCAATTAAGGACTTGGTGTATTACAGTCCCTGCGGCAAGCAGTTTTCTGCATGGTCAGCATTGAAGGCCATATTGTCTTTGAGAGGGTCCAGCCAACATTCCAGACAGGACAGTGTTGTCCATCTTCTTCATCTTCAACCTCCAATATTAACATGAGGCAGCCAAGACTTTGGTTCATTCAACGGTAAAACCATTCCTATAATTTTTTACAATGACATGGTTTTAAAGTTTTAAAGCAAGTTATGATTAACATTTGACAAAGGTGGTGATGTTTTCTCTATACGTAATTAAGAACAGCTTTATTTATATATTGTACCAGCTATATTCAGAATGCCACACTATTTATATTCTCAGGAATTTTCCCATTTTTGATTTTGTTTTTTAGTCGCTTCATTGGGATTAACCCAGAAAGGGGCACAAAAGCCAGGCATGGGAAGATGGTATCCCAAAACACAGGAAAGACCATTCAAAAGAAAAAGTGATGGTCAATGTTCAGGTTTCCACCCTCATCAAAAACCTGATGGACTTTGAGTGGCATCTCATTAATGTTCTATCGTAAAACTAAGACTGTACTTTAAAAAGTAGCATTACAGTTTTCTTCGCAGTAGCTTACTCATAAAGTGAATGCAGTAGTAAAACTAAATTTACAGTAAAAATACTGGAACCTANCTGTCATTTGGGAAAGCCCAAATGTGTCAGGTGTTCTCCCATGGAATACTAAACCTGGACCAGCAGGCGAGGGGAGCTGGGTGTTAATGCAGCGGGAGCAGACATCTCCGAAAACGTCGGAGCAATATTGCAATTAGGTGATGCACTGATGAACCGAGCAGAAATGTGAGATTTATACATCTACATTCTCGCCTACAAACATTGTATAAATCGTGTCACGGCTGCTAAGCAACATAACGCCGAGGTGGAGGCTAGGCAGCTAGCTGAAGGCTACAGCTTCTCTCTGCAATGCTCTCTGCCTTCGCAGGACCCCTCTTCCGTAGACCGGGTCGTTTCTCAAGCCCAGGACAGAAGAATAAGCTTGAAAGGATTTAGACCCTGAACTCGGACACAAAGCTCTAGTGGTCTGGAACACTTGTTTTTATGTATATTTTGCATGTCTTTTTTGTTTGCATCTTTTCTTTGTTCTATTTGTTTTTCTCGTGTTTGCTGCGCGTTTGCACCTGTCGGCCACCGTAGTATTTTAACGCTTCTGTATTTTAGTTCTGCTGGGCTCCATATGGTTGTGTGTATTTGTTATAAGTTGCATTGTGATCACTGTTATGTGTAGAGTGTTATGGGCTTCCCCTGTCTGACTCTGCTGACTCCCACTCACATGTGATGGACCTGTCATGTGGACGGGGGAGCGGGAGGACCAGGACCGATGCTGACAGAACACCGGAAGAGCGGAGAGTTCAGTGTGTTAGCAGTGAAGCCATTCAGTTGAGTCTAGCGATTTGTTAGAGGCGCGAGCTGCAGCCTAAGGAATAGCAGCTCACTCTTATTTCTAATAAACTCTGTTGGCGGGACTACATCTGCGGTGTGTTGGGGTCATTACAGTATTTACTTACAGTACTACACCACTTTAACAGGTAATTACAGGATTGAAAAGGTAAATGTCCAAAATACTGGTATCTACAGACAGCTTTTTTTTTAACCGTTTTTCTGAAAGAACGGTTAAAAAAAAAAAAAAAAAAGAAAGAAACGGGTGTCTGTAGGTACCAGTATTTTTTTTTAATCGTTCTTTCAGAAAAATGGTAGATTACCGTTCTTTCAAAAAAAAAAAACGGTAAACTATTGGCAGCTACAGACGCCAGAAGTTTACCGTTCTTTCACAGTATCTATGCCGTGCTTGCATTGACGGTAATTTACTGTCAGGATTAATTACGGTACAGCTACTGTGCATTTACAGTAAACTTCTGGCGTCTATAGCTGCCAGTATTTGACTGTAAATTTACAGGATTATTTCTTAGAGTGCAGCTGAAGTCAGAGTCTGTTGACTCAATCTGACCTTTACACCATTTGTCAAATGGTTGACAAAGGTTAGACGGACGTCTCCTTTGTCAAAGGAAAGGCATAAGAAGTCCTGATTATGTAGGAAGAAAGCGCTCTAATCGGATGAGACTCCAGTTTAACTTGTTTTTGCCTGCATACAAACACAAAAACACTGTGAACCATGCTAGCAGCATTCCAACAGGAAACATGGTGTTGGCATCCTTATGATGACAGGAAGCTGTTCTTTAGCAAAGACGGAACAACTGGTCGCAATCAATCTGAACGAAACAAATACAGGTCAAGAAAAGCTCTGAAGCCCAGGACATGCAGTGCAAGCTCAACAACATTAAATCTTAATCATTTCTTTCACACTGCAAAATATAAAATGCCAGACTCAACTGTTTGTTACTGTATCAGGTTAGAATTATCAGTCCAACAATAAGTGTGCAGCAAGGTTTTTTGTGTTAATGCATGTTTTATTAGAGCCAGACTCTAAAAAGGGACTGGAGACAGCTGTACAGGAGCTCAAGGCTGGAAAAAAACGGGCCAAAAATCACTCATATGCCACAGCAGCAGTCACACTGCATGATTCTTCTGGAATATTTCTGACACTGCTTGATATTTATTGTGACAGTTGATAATCACACAGAGTAAGACCCGCTTTAGACGCTGTAAAAGACTTGAGACTGGGGCTGAGGTTGACCTTCCAGCAGGACAATGACCCTAAGCATATACTTTGAGATAAAACAGCTTTTTTTTCTTTTTTTTTTAGATTAATCCCTTAGCTGTCAAACCCAAAGATAATGAAACCAGGAGGACACCAGTGTCCTCACAACAGTTAAAGGGTTAAAGTGTAATGGCTGAGTTAAAGTAATACATTTAATCGGATAAAATCTAATTTAAAAATTTGGTACGAGTTGAAAATTGCTGGTTACATCTATTTTCTGTCTGACTGAAATTGAGTTATTTTTAATTAAGAAAGAAGAATTAAAAAAAAAATGTTTGGAGACAAAAAAAAAAAAACTGGCAGCTGGAACTGCAGAAAAAGGCAATTTGACAATATGAACTTTCTACAACTTCATCTGTAAAAAAAAAAATATTTATCTTTTAATTATGCACTACTTTGTGTTGTTTTATTGTACAAAAAATAATTTTAGTTTGTAATACCATTTAGTGGAAGTTCAGTGACTGATAGTCAGGAACAAGCCGAATGCTTTAAGCCTGCAGATCACCTGAAAGCAACTAAAGCAGAAGGAAGGTAAACTCTCCCTTCATCATCTTCTGCTCTTTCTTTGAGATTTATGTCTATTTAGGTTCTATGAGTGTTTTTAGTTTTCTCCACTGAAGATATGATCAAAAAAATTGCCATGTAGTTGTGGTAAAAGTAAAGTTCCCTTTCTTCCTTTGAAAGCTCATCCTTGGTTGTGCAACCTGTTACATCAAGTTGTATTTAGTTTTTTTCCACACAAGCCTTTTCATCTTGGCTTCACGTTTCACTTGTTCAGTGAATAATGGCGGTGTGGGATCTGTGGACAGTTTCTGTAAAAGAAAATATAACCTGCTCAAGACAGTCATTGTTATTTTGAAATAGAATTAATTATTCTTTAATTTACCATAGCTTTATGATAAATTAAAGCTACCATAAAGCTTTAATTTACCATAAAATTAAAGCTAAAGTACACTTTATAATAATAATAGCAATTGGCAACATATATATATATATATATATATATATATATATATATATATATATATATATATATATATAGAGAGAGAGAGAGAGAGAGACTTTTACGTAATTTTATTCTATAAAAAATAAACAAATAAATCAGACATTCTGCTTCCTGCTGTAAAGACAGCAGCTGTGTGTTAGAAGAGTGAAATACACTTTTTGTGTCTTATTCCCCTCAACTGACATCAGAAAATCTGGCATGCCTACAGTGGTAGAGCAGAAATGTTAGAAACGAACAGGTTGCAGCAAAGCTTCTTGGACAATATAAACATACTTGACTTGAATAGTCTCAGTGTGTCTTAGTACACAGAGCAACAAGAGAGAAACAGAGAGACTGCAGTGATGACCAGAGCATCAGATGATGCAACGTGCACGCCTCACTGTGAAGGAGTGTTTTTGCGCATTGATTATTGAACTGTTGGATGCGAGTCTCCCTTGATTTTCCAACCAAAAAGGTTCAAAAGAGTTTCTAAAATCCACATCAGTTCAGCGTAACCATGGCGATTCCTAAGAGATTTAACCCACACCCCCTGTTTCTGATGTACATCTCCTTTATCAGCTGCTCAAACTACCAGGCTTGTCAAAAATGTAAGTGGAAATGAACTGTTATTCCATCTATCCTTCTTTTAAACAATACCCTGTCAGTAACTGCTGAACCTGATTTCTATGTCACTGAAGAACGGCATACGACTGAATCTTTAGGTGGTCTTTTAAAGTCTTGTAATTTGTGGTTGGATGTTTGTCTTGGAGGCCAGAATTACTCTTTTACTACCTTGAATGAAAATATTTTACTTCATTCTGCAAAGGGCTATAAGCCCTTTGGAATATATAAGAAAATATTCATCCTTTTTTTGTAATGTGCTGCAAGAAACAGCCTTGTTATTTCTGCCTGGAATCTCAACTCTGCCCAACAATCTGGGATACGGACGGTTTCTTTTGTATTCCCGTTCTGTCGCACCTCTGGGATTCTTCCAACAAAACCCATCTCCTTGGCTGGAAACAGGAATTCATTGCTGACATTTACAATCCTTAAAATATTAATACTGCTTTTCGACAACTTCAAAAAAGAACAGTATTTATTTATTTATTTATTTATTTTTTTGTATTTTTTTTTTTACAAGGTCTAAATAAAATGTCCCTTATAACAAACAAAGTGCCAATAAAAGCTCGGGCCAGAATCAAAGAAGGTGATGGGAAAAGATGAAAATAATGTTTATATTATAACTGGCAGCTTTGCAGCAAAATGTAAAGCTATTTGACCTTTTGTGATGGGGCGTAGTGTTGGCAGATAAACAGAAAACCAGACACACTATTTATCTTGGCAAGAAATTAAAACATTTGCGATGAAAATTCCTTTAAATTCAGAGACATTTCTAGACATATTATTAAAATGTTTTCAGGCTTGTCTAACAAAACAAAGGTCAGCTCATAAATCCCACTGATGTTTCCAAATTGTCAATATGCAGCGTATGATTAGAAAATATCACCGAACAGAGTTCAACCAGGCTCCAAGCTCTCAAACAGCTGAGTCTGAGCGAACAATAAGCTGCAAACAGCAGAACTTCTTAGAACACTAAAAATCTGACTTTTTCATCTAGACTGGCAAATCTCTCTGCTTTTGAGGCACATCTGTACACATAATGATGGGATGATGGTGGGAGCCACAAGAAATATCCCCACCACCAGATCTTATATGGCGCAGAAAAAGAAGCTGCTGCTGCAGTGAGAGCGCTTTCACCTTATGGTGCATGAATATTTTATAACCAAAGAATGGCAAAGATGGCAAAAACACACCAAATGAAATTAAAAATATAGCAACTTTATTCTGGAATGGCAGTCACCGGCTGCCCTGATTTTTATACACTGGCTTAGAAAATGCAATATTAGCCAATGATTATTTCTGATTGTATGAAAATTAAAACTCAATCGGTTCAAAGGGATA